AATACGTTCATTACTGTAGTTCCATTCTTTATGCATATTTTCTGAACTCTACAACATTCTATTTTTAGCTCAATTGACTTTGATACAAGAACCACTGCATTAATATTGCCCAATATTTCAATAATATTCATTCATTAATACAATTCTATATTCTTTCTATGAAAGTTGACAAAGTTCACTGTTGTTTTATGTATGTATTGCCCTGGTGCGCACCGTTTCGGTTTTTCTTCCACTGCTGAAAATGGTGCAGGATTTAATCAAATTAAAGTGGTACGTGGCACCTTCATCTGCGTGTGCGTTTGGTGGAGGGCAGGCAGCGAGAGGAGCCACAAGACATGGTCTACCTGCGGCAGGGGTTTGTAATGTGGTAGGAGCACCAAAGATTTGATGACACATCTGAAGGACGCAGTGGTAGTACTTTGGCCCTTGCCAGGAAATAGAATTCTCGTGTTGTGCTTTAGCTTATTTGATCAGTTAGTCAAGTTTTATCACTTTGGTTTAAAGACCATGGAATATGGTTATATCTACCAAACTTGAGAAGGTTTAAAAACAGGACAAAATAAGTTTTTTCCTTGCTCCCTTTCCCTGGAGCATCGCTCGCTCCAAGCTCTGCCCTCCTGCCAAACCAGTGCCTCCGTCACCTCCTTCGAGCTGTCGCTGTCATGCTCATCTACTGTGACTTCATCAGCCAGGAGGAGATGTTTTCTGACGTACACAAGATCTGGGAGATCGTAGCCAGGCTGTGCCTTAGGTGGAGGGGAAGATGGTCAGCAGGACAGAGGGTGACATCGATGACTCCTGAGGGCAAAGATACTAAAAGCACAGTAATCACTGGTGTTGATACTGTCACGAACCATTATTTGCAGGAAGTAAGCTTCACAAAAGCCTGCAAGCAGCATGTCAGAGATTACATGAAATCAATCAAAGGGATACTTGAAGAACAGGAACCAGAAAGAGTAAATAAAACCTTTATGATGGGCTGCAGAACTAATCGAGCACTTCCTTTGCTAATTTCAAAACTGACCAGTTCTTTATTGGTGAAAACATGAACCCAGATGGCATCGGTGCTCTGCTGAAGTGCTGTGAGAGTACTGCAGCCCGTATATGATTCTGAGGATGGTTTAGAAATGGAAAACGGTCACGAATTTGGCAGTTTGTCTGTCACCTGTCGTCATAACTGGCTGCCGCTTTCCATCTACACATGAGGTGGAGGGCGGTGGGACTGATGTTGTCTTGAGCTCTTCATTTATTTTGACCTTGATATATTTGGAGGCATCGTTTTTAAGAAAAACATGTTATGTAGCTTGTCTAAAATTAAAATGCATTTAAATTCATTTAAAAAATAAACAGCCCTGGCTCGTGTGGCTCGGTTGACTGAGCGCCGGCCTGTCAAACCAAAAGCTCACTGGTTCGATTCTCAGCCAGGGCACGTGCCTGGATTGCAGGCTAGGTCCCCGGTGACAGGCAGCCGATCTCATGCATCGATGTTTTTCTCCCTCCTTTCTCCTCTCTCTGAAAATAAATAAATAAAATCTTTAAAAAATTGATTAAAAAATAAACATAAAATAACTGTTATTGAAAATTAACATTTGTGTAGTGCTTTACATATTTAATCATGTGAACTAGATAATATCTCATTTTTTAAGAGGGCATAAAAATGAAACCATACCCAAGATCACAAATAATCTAAATATATTTCTTAACTTTTTTTATATATTTAGAATATTAAATGATACCATATATGTAGGTACTGATGATGGTCCTTTGAGTCCAAACCCTATAACCTTTCTATTAAATGTATTGTCTTGCTTCCCTCCCCGCTTTTTATTAGTGGTTAAAAAGATCCTGTTTTTCAGTTGGGTTAAAGGAAGTGGATATTGGATCTCAAATGTTATTAATTCAGAAAGAAAAATTCTTTGGCATGTTTGAAAACATTAATTCATTGTCCATGGAAGTACTAGTTAGGGCTTCTGATAAGTTCAAGTGCTGTCATCAATATTTTATTTTTACAAATTTTTCATTTGCAGAGTTCTGGGGTTTTAAATCTTTTATTAGGAAATAGTTTATGTATTAAAGACAATACTATATATGTAAATATAAAGAATACTGTAAAACAAACAACTCTAATAACTATTCGTTGGCCAGAAAAGTTCGTTTGGTTTTTTCTGTAAGCTGTCTCTAAGTAGCGCTTAGTTGTGTTTAACTTCATTTGCTACAATTTTGTTAGATTGTATTTTGACAGCTTTCCTATCAGGGTGCATTTTTAAAAAACCCATCAAAATTGGCGAATCTTTGTGTAGCCATTTTAATATTGAAGATGGAAGAAAATTTACATTTTTGGCATATTATGCCTTATTACTTCAAGAAAAGTAAAAACACAGCTGAAACACAAAAAAGGATTAGTGCAGTGTATGTAGAAGGTGCTGTGACGATCAAATGTGACAAAAACGGTTTGTGAAGTTCTGTGCTGGAGATTTCTTGCTGAATGATGCTCTACAGTCAGGTATAAACCAGTTGAAGTTGATAGTGATCAAATCGAGACGTTAATTAAAAACAATATTATACCATGTGGGAAATAGCTGACATATGCAAAATATTCAAATCAATAAAGTTATTGGTGAAAATGAAAAATGTGTCTTATTTTATGGAAGAAAAACATATGGACTTTTTGGCCAACTCATTAATACCCAACCTAACATACAGAAATTAACCATGCCTCTGAGGCTTTCTGCTTACACTTTACCTTTAAACAGGTAACAATAATACTGAATTTTGCATTGTTCTGAGGTGGCGCACGCGCGCGCGTGTGTGTGTGTTTTGAGTTGTATTAAAGAAATATCTTTCATGTAGGAATTTAGAATTTCTAAATGTTATAAGTAAATTTAACCTTGTTTGACATAACTTACATAAATAACTTTAAAATTATATTTTGATCTACTTATTTATGTTAAAAATAAAAAGGGTTTTGTGTTTAGTGTCAGTTATTTAAAAGGCCTCTTGGTTTTGAATCTAGAAGCTAGGGAAATGTATTAGTTTCAGAAATTTCAAAGATCTGAGAGAAGGTATTACCGAGGAAGAGGAGGAGGATTTTATGCAAATCAAAGAAATTACTTAGTGGTGTCGGGTCTCAAACCTAGATCTTTCTCAAGTTGTTCTTGGCAGAATTGGTACCACAAGTGAGTAGCTAAAAGAATGCTTGAAACATAGCTTAAAGGATTTATGAAAGCATATATTCTAGAGGTTAGAAGTGTTTGTTTTAACCATGTTTTTGAGTGGTGGCAGCTACTTCAGAGGTCATATCCTACATCTCATCTCGTCATTGGTCTCACTGTTGAACCACTGAAACCTGGAATCTGGTTCATGCAGTATGACATTAACTTCTGTTTTCTTAATAGAGTTTGTATGTGGTCTCTCATGTTTTAGGAACTATAATCCTCAAGCTCCTAGTTTTAAATGGGTAAGAAGAGTTTTAAATAATGTCTGCAGTATAATTTTAGGGGGGTAGTCATATATACATATATATGTGCACACACATACGTGCACGTGTGCATATTCATGAAGACATCTTACCAGCAATGGCTGCATGTAGCGAATAAACATTTAAATGATGGGTGTCTTGACTCATGTGGGCTCTGGAGCCAAACTTTTCCGAGTTCACATCCTGGATTGGCACCAGCTAGTTCTGTAGTCTTGGCTAAGTTCTTTAAACCTCTTTTTGATGGTTTATCAACTGAGGATAATAAAACATCTGCCTTACTGAGTGGTTGGGGGGATTGAATAGGTTGGTATACAGAAAGTACTTACAGCTTGGAGTAAGTGCTCCATGAATGTTGGCTGTTACTGAAATCTTCTGTGTAGTGCCTTTTGGTTAGAAACACTCTGCTTAGGCTACCATTGGTGTGTGAGCAGATGTTCTTTCTAGAACCATGTCTCCTTGTCACATGATTATGTGCAGTGTGCGCCTTATTAATATTCTGTCAGTGTTTGAGGTTGGAACGTAAGTGTGTGGCCGAACCGAGCGGAATCCAGCAGGAGAGAGAACTAAACACCATAGCAACTGTTGCTATTTGTGTCCAGAGCAGCAGCTGCTCTGGACAGATTTATTTTTTAATCCTGATCTCACTGATGCCCTGGGATGTGGCCCTGCCTTAGGGAAGTGGATTGGTCAGGATGTCTGGACTTTGAGGAGATTTTGTGAACACATGTTATAAGGATTCTATTCCATGTGAAATGTGAGAGCCAGAGCTTTATGTGCATGGGAAAGGGAGAGAGGCCAAGGAAGCCTCAGCACTCAGTCATGGCCGGAGTGCGCTGTGACTGGGTTAACCACACGAGAAAGCACTGTTCCCCTGGGCAGTGAGACGTTGTGCTTTTCAGTCACAAAGTAATGTTGCTGTTCATAACATTCTACAGAAGATTTAGTGGTCTGTGATTCCAGTGTATACACTCATATACACAAATGTACACACATACGTATGATAACTTAATGTTTCGAGTTACCAACTGTGGATTTCAGAAATAAGACTCTTTCTAATGAATACTTCATTATCAGATGCTTTTCTGAAGCAGATAAGAGCTTTAAAAAGAGTTTGTTTCAAATAGTAGGGTAGATTGGCTCAGTGATTTAGTAATTTGTATTTCTGATGTGTTGAAATATTTGAAGCCTTGTGAAGCACCTTGAAATAGTAACATGGCCGATTTCCAGGTTTTGGCTGCTATATTACTCAGATTCAGTCATAAAATACTTAATGAGCACCTACTGTGTATGAGCCTCTGTTCTGGATCCTGGTGACACTTAGTGAATGTTATTGGTCTGATTCTTTTCAAATTCTCTGTGTAAATCACCTATTAAAATATGATTATTTTTGTTTTTGATTGCCCTGTTGAGAGTCAGTGGTATGAATTTAGATTTGAATGTTTTGAATTTACCATGTAACATCACACTGAACTAACGAATGTGAAACCGAGTGACTCATAAAATCAAAACATTTTCATCCTAGGTATTATTAACCCAAAGAACCCAAAGGAAGCTCCAAAGTCCTTCAGCTTCGACTACTCCTACTGGTCTCACACCTCGGTGAGTGTACTTGTGGTACAGCGTAGCATAACTGTAAGGGATTTGAAGGGTTTTGGACGTGTTTTGAAAGAGCCTGTAGGTCCAACGAGGAAAACAGAGGTTACGGACATCAGGAAAAATCAAGAGTTGGGGCCCTTTGCAGTATCCTTACTCAGTATAAAACCCTCAACCTTGCTGGCTTCTCAACCTAAACTAGAGTTTGCTTCTGCATCTCTTTGTTAGGAAGGGTTTTTTCCTTCTTTCCCTCCCCCCGTATTTTTTGTTGGAGTAAGAGATGTTTTAAACTATTGACAAAGCCTAATTGGCAAGGGAAGGGCTTTGGCAAGGGGCTGGAAACATTTTTTTTCCCACTTGAAAGCTGTGTTTATTGAGGTATAGCTGCACTACCAGTAGCAAGTTCAGAAAGTATTTTACGTGTGGACTTGACATTTGACATCTTTGTCCCATTTTCCTCTTAAGAAAATTTTCTTGGAGCTTCCTATGAATGAGAGAATGATACTTGTAAGGTTATGGAAAACGAAATATAATCACAGTTGATAATTTCATGTAGATATTTTTATGTATGGCTGGCCTGGATAATGGATAACTCTAAAAGAGAGAGAGAGAGAGAGAGAGAGAGAGAGAGAGACTGTGTGTGTGTGTGTGTATGTGTGTAAAGTGAGAAAAATAAACTGTATGTAGGGGGAACTTTAAAAATGTGTAATATATTTTAGGTGACTATTCTGATATGAAACACTTGTATTTATTATAGAAGTAATCAAATAAGCATAGGAAAGAATATGAATAAAACATCATTTTTTTTCCTTTTAATCTTTACAGCCTGAAGATCCCTGTTTTGCATCTCAAAGCCGTGTGTACAATGACATTGGAAAGGAAATGCTCTTACATGCCTTCGAGGGATACAATGTCTGTATTTTTGCCTATGGGCAGACCGGTGCTGGGAAATCTTACACAATGATGGGTAAACAAGAAGAAAGCCAGGCTGGCATCATTCCGCAGGTAAGAAAAAAAACAACGAAAAACCTCTGCTCATTATTACCCTTGGTCTGTACTGACTTTAACAATTATGTTTATAAAGCAAACGTTTATTCAGGGACTGTACCAGGCACAAAGGTAAATCACCTGTCTCCCTCAGAGGAACCAACAGTCTAGTGGAAGAGACTGACATGTATACATGTCTACTTTTAAGTGGGAAAGGTAATGTTTTCTGAAGGTGTTGCTGTTTATCTAATGTTATGTTATCCTTTGAGCAGTGTTACCAGCCTCTTCCAGAAGAGAGAGATAGTATGTAACAGAGCAGGCTCTGTTCTGAATCCTGGGGACACCTAATGAATGTTGTGCTGATTTTGAGTTCCAAATGTAGATCACCTCTTAAGAATGTGATTTTTTTCCCCTTCACCCAAGGACATTTTCATTGGTTTTTAGAGAGAGGGGGAGGGGATGAGAGAGACAGATACATCATTTGTTTGCCTTCTTGTCTGCATCCCACCTCAGGACTGAACTCACAACCTGGGTGTGTGCCCTGACCAGGAATCAAACCTGTGACCTTTTGGTCTGTGGGATGAACAGCTGGGTCACACTGGCCAGGGCCAATGTTTGTTTGTTTGTTTGTTTGATTGATTGCCTTGTTTAGAGATACTTTCCTTTTATTGTGTGTGTTTAATACCGTCACTTTAAGCTTCAACAATGTTGAGATTTCCTCTTTTAAGAGCAGTTAGTTTTTTGATTTTGTATTGTTTGGGAATGGAGAGGAATTGTGACGTAGTTATTTAGAAGAAACTTCTTAAATAACCTGGGCTCGGCTCGTGTGGCTCAGGGGATTGAGTGCTGGCATGCGAACCGAAAGGTGGTCGGTTTGATTCTCTGCAGGGGCAGATGCATCGGTTGTGGGCTGATGTTTCTCTCTTTCTTGCACGTCGATGTTTCTCTCCTTTTCTTTCTCCCACTCTTCCCCTCTCTCTAAAAATAAATAAATAAAACCTTAAAAAAAAGAAATAATCACTGTGTAGTGGACTATCCTTTCATAAAAGGTTTGGGATCTTAAGACAGAGTGAGGTAAAGGGGAAAGTTTTATAGAGTTAAAATGATTCTTGAAAATACCTTCGTTTACCCCCTCCAAATAGTAAGTATTCTTTATCTATATTATGTATGTATAAATTTATCGTGTATATAGTAACTAATAATATATAATGATAAAATTTCTATATCATAAGTAAAGTGTGCAAAATCAGCTTAATAGTTTCTTATTAAACTATTATTGCCATAGTTTATAATTGCTACAATAATAATACTGATAGTAGAGTCACAGTTACTCTAGTATAGTATGAAGAGCTGAATTCGCATGAATTAAATGTGTCATGATAAAACACTGTACAAGACATAATTCTTCACCTTTCCCTAATGTGGCTTTCTTTCTAAAGAAACATCGTTGAGATGCTATTGTTGAGGGATTATATAGACAAGGAGTATTTAAAAATACTCTTATTTCACTCAAAGAATTCACCTTTGTTGTTGATGCCATTAATATTTTGAGAAAAGGGCATATTGTTAATGTGTTTAGCAATCCTGGGTAACTTACTGCTTCTCTGACATGCTGTTGATGCCTCTCTTGTTCTGTTTCTGTAGTTATGTGAAGAGCTATTTGAAAAAATCAATGACAACTGTAATGAAGAAATGTCCTACTCTGTAGAGGTGAGTATAACTTCCAGGTAAAACCAGAGGCCTCCATGCTCCGTTGCCTCAAGTGCTGCTTTTAAATGACTCTAAATTATGACTGTGCTGTAGATCACTCAACCATTCCCCCAATTTTGTACTTTTAGGCTATTTCTAAGTGTTCGTTATAGTTAATAATGTTGCAGTTAAAGCCTATAAGTAAGTCTGGCTTTAATTTCATTTATTTCCTTTGATGTATGTTGGTTGTCAAAAAATACATTAGAATTTTAGAAAGAAGCCCCATCAGGTGTGTGTAAGCATTCATTCTGCCTTTGCTAACATTTAGTACTTTCGTTTTTAGATTTTTGCCAATCAGATAAGGGAAAATTTCTCACTGTTACTTAAATTTGAATTTTTTTATTGTTAGTGTGGCAGAACATCTTGTAAATGATGCCTTTGTCATTTTACATGTTGGGATTGCAATGTTTTTCTTATTCATTTGTGTGAACTCTTTCCCTTTAATGTTATTAGTCATGATTTTTGATAGGCATAAGTTTTGCAAACATGTGTAATCAAATCTCTTCTCAGCCCTCCCCCCCACCCCCGCCCTTTATAGTTGCATATATCTTGGAAACTTATTCTCCATCCATTGTATAGCCTAGCTGTTTTAAGAAGAGGTTTATAGCCCTGACTGGTGTGGCTCAGTTGTTTGATTATCATCCCGCAAAGTGAAAGGTTGCTGGTTCAATTCCCGGTCCAGGCACATGTCTGTTCAGTCCCAGTCTGGATGTGTACAAGAGGCAGTCAATCGATGTTTCTTCTCTCTTCCCCTCTCTTGATAAGTAAATAAATAAATAAAACAAATCAACTTTGTTAAAAAAAAAGAAATTGCTATTTATTTGAAAAAGATTTATAGAATTAATTCATATATATTATTTGATAAACATTTCCACTTTTTTGTCTTATGTTTAATGAAGCTGTTTTACACCCTCCCCCATTTTTGGTATTTAATTTCATAGTCAGTAATAGTATTAAAGTGGTCTGACCCCATGCATGTATGGGCAACTCATTTTTGATAAAGGAGCCAAAAACATGCAATGGAGAAAGGAAAGTCTCTTTACTAAATGGTGTAGGGAAAACAGGAAAGTCAAATGCAAAAGAATGAAACTTAGACTAGTATCTGACACCACAACATAATGCCTGTTATCATGAGCCTATTCTGAGAAATTAAGCTGCTTTTAAAGCAAACTCTAGTTTTTTTAGTTTTTTTTTTTAATGTATGTGTTTGATTATCTATACGACTTACACAGTTCCTAGTTGATCCACTTAGATCTTTGGTTTTTTTCTTTGTGTATAAAGTATTACATAAATTGATAAGTTTTAAAGAATTCTACCTTGTGACCATTATATACCAAAAGGAGAATGTGGTGTTCTAAAAATACTTTCTGTTAAAATGAATTCTCTTTTAACTGAATATTCTTGTCTCATCCTGTAACTGTTCTGTTTTGAATCATGACAGAAATTTTCAGCTTGTACGTAATAAAAAAAGGAGGCATTTTCTCTCATATTAGTCTGAGTTCATAGGCTTATTTGGAATGCAGCGTAGATCCCCAGTTGATACTGTGGTTCCTTTAATTTATGGGTCATCTACTTCCTTTCTTGCCCCCCTCCCTTACTTACTCTGCCTCAGCCACACGAATTTTTTTTTTTAATGCTGTTTCTGGAATACACTAGGAATGTTCCTACCTTGAGGCTTTTACTTTTTCTTCTGCCTGAAATTTTTTCTTCCTAGTTATCTTTCTAATTATCCTTTTTAATCCTCACCTGAGGATAGGATATATTCAGAGAGAGAGAGAGAGACAGAGAGAGAGACAAAGATAGAAATCAGTTGGTTGCCCCTGCGCGTGCCGCAGCTGGGATTGAACCCGCAGTCTTTTTGGTGTCTGGGACAGTGCTCCAACCAACTGAGCTACCTGGTCAGGGCTATTCCTGGATATCTTTTGACTAAGTTTTTCACCTTCTCAGGTCTTTTGTTTAAATCTGGCCGTCTCTCTGAGGCTTCTCTTGACCTCGTCACATGACACTGCAGCTTGCCTTCCGCCCTGCACTCCGGATCCCCTTGCCCTGTTCTTTTTTTCCGGAGTATTTATCACATTCTAACCTTTTTTATAATTTTACTTATTTCTTATGTTTGTTGTTTATTTTCAGTCTCCCTTCCTAGAATCACAAGCTCACTAGGACACAGTCTGTAATGGTTGGTTTGTTCAGACGTAAAAGAAATAGTGATGGCTTAGTGGGTTTGTACATTAAATAATAAGTAACAGAGCACATCAACCTTTACCAGGTTATTTTAGACCCTCTTAGCCTCATACCTGTGTGAAAAGGGACAAGTTTTCCAAGAAGATATAGTATCTTCCTGGGATTCAGGATTATATATGCAAGTTCAAGTCCACAAGAATGATTGAAGTACCATCTCACTTTCTAAGATGACTTGCTCTCAGAAAGATTATCTGTTGTCCTGTTATTGTACTCTCATAATAATCAGTTACTTTATCTTTCAGCATTTTCAGTTTTAAAAAAACCTGATTTTGAAATACAGTATAAAAATACAGTCAGATCTGAGACTGAGTAAAAGAAAAAGGCAATAGAAATAGAGATAAAGTTCCATTTGAGATGCTCTGAAAATGTGTCTGTAGAAATTCAGATTGGAAAAATGTAGAATTATATTGTATGCTTGAGTAGCTTTGTGATACAGAGGTATCTAATTCCTAACAGAGCATCAAAATTAGGCTTACTCTGGTGAATTTACCCTGTTTCATAGCCTTCTTGATTAGAAATCTGATCTTACAGATACATCAGGATCAGAACCATCATTCTTCCAAGTCAGACTCTTGAGTGAAGCTCATTTAACTGATGTTAAGAAACCTGTAGATTGGTTTGTTACTTTCCTATGACTAATAACTATTACCCAGACCAGACACTCATATTACCAAGACTGGTATTTTTATCTCCCTGTGGGTGGACTCTGTTGGAATGCTGTTGGTTTTGTTGGTGAGCATGGGATTAGAGGGAGAGGAGTTGATTAAACAAATGTGTAGTTGCTTCAAGTGAAGAAACGACAGCCTAACACATTCATCTCCATGATAGGACTGGTCCCACTGACAGGACAGGAGTTCCTGAAGCCTTAGTGCATTGTCTCAGGCTTCCTCCCCTGCGAGAGTTGGATAGTTGCTGCCACACACTCAGGTTCTGTGCTGCCCAGCCCTTACCTTCCTGGTAGACACATTCTTTTGGGTCATAATACATCACATTGTGGCCAGCGTTAAAGTATTAGAGTTGCCAATCTCTTTTTTTCTTAACTGCTCTGAAATACTGATATTGTTCCTTGGTTTTAGCATAATAGAAATCTTGTTTCCAAGCTTTGGAGTAAGCTCTCTGTAATCCCCAATTATTGGGAACAGCATATATTAAAAAAAAAAAATACTGACAACTGTTCGGTTGCTACTAAAAGTGATATTTCTTCTGCCTAAGACAGGTAGCAGTCACTCTGTGCTGAGATAGCATGTTTACCTCCTTTTCCTTCCTGTAGTCAGAAGGCTGGTTCTAACCTACTCAATGATACCTGTGCATACAGTTACTAGAGGAAAGGGGACTGGAACTACGGCATTTTATTTAGTAAAGGAGGCTCTATAATTTAGTATGATAGAGCTTTTAAGAAAAGTTTTTAAAAACCTTCTTAATGTAGAGGAATTTTTCCCGAAGTCCTAATTCACTAATAATTTGTTTCTAGGTGAGCTACATGGAAATTTACTGTGAAAGAGTGCGAGATTTGCTGAATCCAAAAAACAAGGGTAATTTACGTGTACGTGAACACCCACTCCTTGGCCCATATGTTGAGGATCTGTCAAAGTTGGCAGTCACTTCCTACACAGACATTGCTGACCTCATGGATGCTGGGAACAAAGCCAGGTATGGTCGGAGGTCATTGGCACATTAAGAGGCCCTTTGTGCCCAGTGAAGGGCTAGAGACCACATACATAGCTCTGGAAATCCCTGCTGTTGTGTGGAGTCCTCTGATCCTCTGGCTGTGCCGGAGAAGTGAGGGTTCAGCGTGGTCAGCATCTGTCTTCTTACTGAAATAACGCACTGCTGTGATGTAATAGAACTTTGGTTAAGTTTTGCTATTAAGTTGTGGTCAAGTCATGCCAAAATGTTGCTTATCACATGTCTATGGTAGTGATTGATTATGGAATAAATGAGTGCCTAATAACGAATTAAGTTAAATGCTCTGGTGATTACTAAAGGGAGAGCTGGAGTATGAAAAATGATTCTGTAGGGGTACCTTTGGAGTTGGAGAGTTAGAGGGTAACTTGATAGACTCATACATAAATAAAGTGTATTGAGGACAGTCTATGTGACAATCTTGCAATCTGTGAATTAAAGTTGTTGGTTGTTACTGTTATGCCTGTAATGCGGAGCCTGCTGTCCCTTGTAACTTTCATCTAAGAATTCCTTTGTCACGTGTTCACCTTTATGTTTATTCAGGACAGTGGCAGCTACCAACATGAATGAAACAAGTAGCCGTTCCCACGCTGTGTTTACAATTGTTTTCACCCAGAAGAAACATGATACTGAGACCAACCTTTCCACCGAGAAGGTAAGAGAGCTTCAGTCTGGGGGCTTGAGTTGTGTAGACAGGGTATTTTCAGAAGTCCCTTTTGCTTCCTTCTGCATTTTGTGGAAGAGATTTTTACTTAATGAAAAGTATTTTATACCTTCTGCTTACATTCTTAATTCCACTCTAAACCAGTTTTGAGCATGGGTCCTAAGTGAAATTGCAAAAGAGAAAATAGGGTTAAGAAAAACCAGTCCAGGACTTTGTCTCTCAAAAACTTCTCTATGCAAGAGAGCTAATTAAGCAGTACTGTGGGGAGAAAATCTTTCTTTTTCTTCTATTTGACTGGAACCACTTAATTACCTTATTAACTTCTTTGCTGTGCGTATTTTTTTGTGTGTGTGAGCTCTGATAATGTTACTGTGGGATTAAATGTTTAAGTAAACGATGAAGCAGACAAGATGTATTTTATTCTTGGAAAGTGAATAACTGCACAGCAGTTCTGATGTTCTTCAAATACATAGCTTGTTAATTTCTCATTTTCTACAGTGTTCAACTATATAGACTTTGGAATTAAATTGTTTGCTTTAGACTCTGGCTCTGACACTTTTCATCAATGTTACCTTGGGCAAGTTACCTCATGTCTTTGTGCCTTAGTTTCACAAACCTCATACGATTTTTAAGAGGATTAAGTATTAATATAGGTTAAGTGCATAAAATAGTGCTTGGCACAAAGTAACCACTCAATAAATGTTCACTTTATTGTCCTTATTGTTAATAATAAATTTATGTTGAATTCTAATTTGCCTATATTCCTAAGTAACTTACAACTGGATTTTTAAATCTGAAGTTACCAATAGATTTATTGTACTGGCAGTTATAAGGGACCCTTCAAACATGATTCATTTATCTTATAACTGGAAGTTTATACTTTTGACTCCCTTAGCTCATTTTTATCTCCGTTCCCCGTATACTCTCCCAACTTCCTGCCTCTGGCAGTTACCCATCTGTTCTCTGTTTCTATGAGCTTTCTTTCTTTTTCTTTTTTTATTCAATTATTTATTTAGACAGAGGGGGAAAGGAGGAGAAAGAGAGGGAGAGAAACATCTGGGGACCTGGCCCCCCACCCAGGCATATGCCCTGACTGGGAATTGAACCAGTGACCTTTTCGTTTGCAGGCTGGTGCTCAGTGCACTGAGCACACCAGCCAGGGCTGTATCTATGAGATTTTTCATTCCCCAAGATTCCACATATAAATGAGATCATATGGTATTTCTTTTTCTCTGTCTGACTTATTTAACTTAACATAGTGGCTTCAGGGGCCATCCATGTTGTTGCAGATGGCAAGATTTCATTCTTTTTTATGACTGGATACTATTCCATTTTATATATGTACCACATTTTCTTTATTTACTCATCCACCAGTGGATGCTTAGGTTTCCATATCTTGGCTATTGTAAATAATGCTGCTATGAATATTGGAGTTGCCTATATCCTTTTGAGTTAGTGGGTTTTTTGGTTTTGGCTTTGTTTTGTTTTGATAAATATGCAGACCTGGGCTTTCTGCATTGTAAGGTAGTTCTATTTTTAATTGTTTTAGGAACTTCCATACTGTTTTCAATAGTGGCTGCAGAGTTTTGCGTATTTTTATGACGTATCATTGTAGAGTATGTTTATCCCAAAATTACTTGTTTTGAACTAAGGTAATTGTTGTGAACTTTGTGCATGTTCTTTAAATTGACAAAAAGCATATGTTGTCTTTGTCTTCTTATATCATATAGAGGAGTCCTAATCAATATTTTTAGTCTTCTCTATGCCTTAATCTTTTAATGTCCTGCCTCTAAGTGTTTCCTACTTCTGCCTTGCTTATTTTTGAATTGCCCCAATGATGTTGTTCTTTACCAGGTCAGTAAAATCAGCTTGGTGGATCTAGCAGGAAGCGAACGAGCTGATTCAACTGGTGCCAAAGGGACTCGACTAAAGGTATTTATTTTGCCAAACAAATAGCTTAGTCAGTAGTTGTTCTATAGCACAGGTCAGCCAGCTATGGCCAGTAGCCATATCTGGCCCACTGCCTGCTTTTGTAAATAAAATTTTATTGGGGTGCAGCTACATCTATTTGCTTATGTATTTTCTGTGGCTGCTTTCTATGGCCCAGAAGACCTTTATAGAAAAATTCTGCTGACTTCTGATTTATAACTCCAAAGAAAGGATAAGTAATATAACATAATTATCAAAGAGGACTTCATGGTCCAGGTGAGAGTTGAATCGTCTTTTGAGGAACAGACAGAACTTGGCTCGATGACAGTAAGGGACAGTGAAGGGAAGAGGATACACAAGGTCCAGATGGGATAACAAGCATGGTCTCCTCCAGAGGGAAGCTTAACGAGAGCGGAGATTGCATGTTGGTGAGCTGTGGGAAGAAGGCTCCATCTTGTAAATTTTTGGAGCATAACCATCTCAAAGAAACTTTGGGTGTGTGCATTAGGCATGGTCCTACCATGTTAGCAAATGGAGAGAAGGGATGATTGAAGATTAAAGGAGATTTTTAGAATTTGTGGTCATAAATAAACTAATAATGCTAGCATATGGCTAATTGTATTTTATCTATTATATATGATGTGACTATAGTAGAAATTCTTCTTAATTCTTTCATATTTGGAATTGATTTCAGGAAGGAGCGAACATTAATAAGTCTCTTACAACTCTGGGCAAAGTCATTTCAGCCCTGGCGGAGGTGGTGAGTGTCATACTTCATTGTGAGGAAAAATTTGGTCGGCAGGTGTATTTGGCAGCCATACAATTATGGTTGTTTATCATGGTGGTCCTTTTTTGGTCTTTTTATGTAATCTTAATTTTTTCTATTAGAGCTTTTTGATATGATACAAGGTATACACTTTGTACTAAAAGTGAAGAGATGAGGGAGAATGAAAGTAAACATAGACCCTTGCAGGCCAGAGGAAAGGCAAGGTCTTTACAAAGACCTATGGTTTGACTATTTTTGACCCTTATTTCATAACTCTTAGAAAAACCACAAGTATTTATTGCATATTCTTTCTCTATACAATCCTTTCTAAATAAGATGCAATACTTTTTGGAGTATTTTGAGCAATTTGCCTTAGTAAATGCTGTTGATTTGGGGGCCAATAATGTATTTTTAAAATAATTTATTCTTTCTTATTCCTTAACAGTGGGACACTAAAGCTGAAACAATTTTTGTGTAAGGGGCTTCATTATTTATGTTAGAAGCTAAGGAAGTGTTAGTCATGTGTGTTCTAATTTAGTTTAGTTACCTCATTGAGTCTTTAAAAAGAATTAAGTGCTTTCTTCTTGCCTCTGAGAAGTCATTCAGTTTATGCCTTAAAAATTACACACTCTATTTTCTATATGGAGGCTTATCCTTTGTTTTCATTCTCTCCTTTAAATGCTTTCATTTGTAGGATAACTGCACCAGCAAGGTATGGTGGAGTCTGGTAAAAATTAACCAACTGTAGAATCAGTTGTGATGATTTAAATCCTCAGCGGGAGGTGTGGGACACACGTAGGGATGGAACCTTCAAAAAAAGTTTTCATTGTTTGTTTTCTGGCTCTGGAATTTAGAATTGGTCTTTAGAGTGACCATGAGTCATGAGACTTAACAGCAAAGTTAAAATAGGGAACATGATGTGCTTTGGCGAGAGAATTCAGAATAAAGGAAAAAGAAATTTGAGAAAGCTTCTACATTGTGTTATCTTACAGTATTTCTTCTAGTGATAGGACTGTCTCTTAAAAAGTCTATAAACTACTCAAAAGGATGAGAAAAGAAATTTCTTAAGGGTACCAGTCTAAAACATAGCTGGCTTCTTGGAATTATTAGTATATAATTCTAAAGCCTCTTTGTGTTATCTTTACTTGTATCCTACCATGGAAAGTCATAGGTTATTTAAGTGATTTAAAAATTATTTTTTCTTTTTAGTTATACATTGAGTGCAGTTTGAAGAATCAAGTTAGCCTTCTAACTGCATCTAGAAAACATTATTTGCGTCCTTTTTAATCCAAATACATAGATTTTTCTGTCCCTTAGATTTCTATAGAAATACTCTAAAATTTATTAGTATCTTTTGGATAAATAATAGAGTACCTAACAGTTTGTTCTGAATCACATGAGTAACGTTGGGGATAGAAGCAATATATGCTTGCATTTTCAGATATGTATTTATTCTCTATTTCTGCAAAAAAATAATAATAAAAAGTAATGCCTTTTGTTCTGTTTCTCTGTGCTGTTAGAAAATTCTGCCTTAGATTTAAAACCTAGTATATGGTATACATTTATGGATATTCTTCAGATATTTAATCTGTGTTCCAGACCCATGAAGACTGTTAAAACGTAGTGATCATTCCAGCTTGTCGGGTTAATTTGCTCGTCAGTTAACTTCCATATCAATTAAAGGAGAAATTTACGAAGTGCTTACTTATATATTTCCCACATTGCTCTGTGATACAGTAATTCACAAATGACTTTTTTATAATCACTTTTGTAAAACCCAGTTTAGTACTTTGCAGCTGTTACAACTATAAGAGATCAGAAATAAATTTTAGTTTTTAATGTAACAAGCATAAGTTTTGGTGAATTAAGATGTTTTATTATTTCTCCTGGAGAGAGAAATAGGATTATTACCACTCACATTTAGTAATATATCTTTTCAGAGAGGCTGTTGATGTAAATAAGTTTTTTTAATGTGGCTACTGAAACACTTGTTTTTAAAAATTATGGATGTAGGACATGAGATTTATCTGTATAAAAGAACAAATAGGAATGAAGTGGCTAAAATTCCAGGGTATTTTCAAGTAGAAAAGATTGATATTCTATTTAGGCATATTCATTTAGCTACTCCTTAATTTAGTCAATTCGACAGAAATGAAAATAGAACATTTTTGGCAAACTGACACTGCTTATTTTTAGAATATTGTTTGCTGTAATTGTAACTGGCATGCTTTAAATCTTGCAGCATTGTCGGTACTAACCATAGGCAAAGTGGAGTGAGTGGGAAACTTTTGGAAAGGATAAGCTGAGGTCTTGGGCCTCAAGACTTTTGGAGTGAAGTGAAAGTTCCACTGCTGGGCTGTGAATGACTGAGCAGATTCAGTCTCCTCCTTTGAGATCTGCGTAATTTAGAAACTGCTGTTGGAAATGACTTTCTAATTGTTGGGGTGTGTGTGGGTGGCGTGGGATGCGATTGAGGGGATATTTTTGATACGAGATGGAGTTAAAATGCTGCTTGCCTACGTTCTTTACTCCTCAACAAACCAGGGGTCAGCTACGTAGTACTCTCTTCCTGAATAGCTGTGCTTTTGCAAGAACTGGATCGTCCTTAATGTAATTTAAACTCAGATGATACCAGGGTTGGACTATAAAACTCCCAGTGGCTGGGGAGGTGTATCTCAGTGAACCCTGGCTTTCCCAGTAGTAGCTTCTTAATCACAACATAGTAGTCAGCCAGCAGACACTGGAGTAGCTCTTCTCTGCAAAAAGTTTTGCTTTCAAAGAATATAACTTCCTCCATTGCAGCACTGGCTTTGCATTGGTGCATTTTGCTTTATTCTGTGATAATGAGAAGGGTTATGGAGAGAGCAGTGTAAGAAAAGTGCATTTTTCTGTCTTTACAAATCTCCAGATTAGCAAGTTATATCATTTTCTTAGACCTTTTACTGCAGCAGTTAATGATTTGTTTTAGGCATAAGTTCCATTCAAAGAAACAAAATGCGTATTGCTGTAAAAGAGTTTAGTAGATATGGAAGAACCCACTTGATGATTTGGTGGCCAAGTAAATGCATTAACTAAATGAGTGGCTCCTACACATCTGGCCTTGAATGTACAGGATTCACATTTGCCCCTCTGCAAAAGAAAAATTATCGTTTGAAGATTTGGTATTCGATGATATTAAGGAATTATTGTTAATTTTGTTAAGCGTGTAATAGTTATGCATTTAGGCTTTTTAAAAAGTCCTTCTCTATTAGAAATATGTACCTGAAGTCTTTATAGGTGAAATGTTGGTTTCGTTTTAGACCACTACTAGTTATAAAGACATGATACGGACAGGATATTAGATAGTAGTATTATGTTGATGTTAAATTTCCTTAATTTGGTCTTTTAACTGTGTGTAAGAGAATGTCCTTATCTGCCAAGGGCTTAGGGATTAGAAGGGCATGTTGTCTGGAATTTACTTGAGAATGGTTCAGGAATAAAAAGTATAGAAGAGTGTTTGAGGGATAATTGAAACGTGATTGGCAAAATATTGAAAATGGATGTATATATGGTACCTTATTATACTACTCTCTAAACTGTTGTGCATGTTACAAATTTTTCAAAATAAAATATAAAAAGAAACAATCACTTTATTGCATGAGCTTTGGGTATTGTGAAGAACTGAAGCCATGAGTGTAAAATTTCTACAGTGAGGGTTCTACTGTAATTTAGTTTACTTGGGAATTTTAGGCCGGTTTGCCTTTTATGTGAATTTTTTTATCTTCAACAACACTAAAACCATTTCTTTCTGTTTAATAGAGTAAAAAGAAGAAGAAAACTGATTTTATTCCCTATAGGGATTCTGTACTTACTTGGCTCCTTCGAGAAAATCTAGGTATGTTGACCACTGGTGTGTAATTATCTTTTTCATTTAAGCTGGTTGGAGTTGTACATCTTTATTTAAATCAGAATTTCCTCCCCTACGTTGATGACTTCAGGACATGAACTGTAGAGTAGTTGTCTTCCTGGCCACACACCTGCCTCAACTGTTGCTCTTTCTTCCTCTTTGAGAGCTCCATGCTCCTTTGAGGCATGCATAATCAGATGGGACCAACCCTTACTCATTTTTGCTGATGTTTTTGGACCTTCATTCAGTGGTTTTTTAGCCCCTTTCCCTCCTTGAGGAGGAGGAGGGAGTGATCGGCTGTGTCAAACACTGCAGATAGGGGGCTGAGGCTGGCCTGTCGGGGCCGTCCATGCCACAGTGACTTTGATGTCGCCAAGAGCAGCTGAGCCTGGATTGGCGTGGGAAAAGGGGAATTGGGCAGATCAAGACACCAGGAGTTGAATACACTGCGTGACATGGGGGCATTGAAGAAATTTGTTGATTTTGAATAAATCTTAGGATCTGAGGTTGTGCTGTCTGGTCTGACACATTAAACAAAACTTTTCTATTATGAGTATGATTTGAGATAATCATGATTCGTCTCTCTAGGTGGCAATTCTCGGACTGCAATGGTTGCGGCTCTGAGCCCAGCCGACATCAACTATGATGAAACTCTGAGCACTCTGAGGTACTCCAGCTTGATCCCAGTAGCTAAATAGGACACACTGTCACATGGTCCTTTTGTTAAGCCATGTATTTTCTTATGCTGTATGGGTAGTCATTTATGCACATAATGATCCAGCCCTCTCATAACAGAAAATATTGGGGGGGAAAGAGAATCTTATTATAGAATTGACCTGTTTGTGGTTTTCACTTTCATTGGAAAGACAGGGACTTTTTCATAGGAAAAGTATTGAAATTGTTCAAGTGAGATTTTTTTTTGGATAACTTTCAGATAATAGTGAAAATTTCTTAAAATACTCATTTCTGTAAAAAGAAGTGTCCCGTATGATATTTGTCATTATAGAAATGCTCAAGTCATTAAAAAAAACCAATTATGAGTACATGTAGCATTAAAAAATATTAGTGACAGTGTTTACTAATATAATATTTCTATTTATGAATAGATTTCATTATTTTAAGCCCAAGCAGTCTGTTCTTCTCTTATTAAAGATTTTAATATAATGAAAGGAATACTGTATAATCTTACAAATCACTTTTGAGTTTGAGTCCTTTCTCGGGTATTTTATTTCCTTTGTGAGCTTGACTAAATCACTTAAATTCATCTGAGCCATTTTCTTCATCTTCATAAGGTACTATAAAACTTTATACACCTATATTATTATTGAGGCTGCATATGTATAAATACTCAAGCTGTTTGCTTTAGAAATAATAGTATGTTACTTACGAGCAAAAATGAATCTTTTTGGATCTAGATATGCAGATCGTGCAAAACAAATTAAATGCAATGCTGTTATTAATGAGGACCCCAATGCCAAACTTGTCCGTGAATTAAAGGAGGAGGTGACGCGACTGAAGGACCTTCTTCGTGCTCAGGGACTGGGAGATATCATTGATAGTAAGTGAATTCAGGATCAGTTCAAAATTGAATTCTTTCCTCTTTGGGGTTCTTGTATTTAAAATTAGATTTAGGGAACTTGAAGCTAAATGATAGTGAAAGGGTTTCTTCTTTCTTCTTAAAAAACAAAAAAAAAAACCCCAATGAAAATGATCTCAGAATTTTTTTTCATGTAGTATGTACCAGGATGTCCACTTGAACTTATGAAATTAATTTTTCACTAATATACCACCACTTGTATTTTTATTAGATTTCTATTAGATTAGATCAGCAGTGAAGTTTATTTGGAACATTAAGCTTATCCTCACTGAGAAACTTAATCACTTCATAAAAATGGTTCTTGAAATTTTTGGTTTTGTGTCATGGATTTCTCTGGATTAATGTAGTAGCAGGGATGTACATGTGAGTGCTCCCCTCCCTGCTCTCTGCAAACATACAAAGGGGAGAATACCTTTCCTCTCAAGTTCAAGAAGGAGGATATTGTCTTACAATGTCTTAAAATGAATCTAATTTTAATCTAATTCATTTGTCTTAAAATGAATCTACTTATGTTTGATAAACCATACTGTCTAATCAGAAGTTCTTTTACGTGAATTAACTAGATTATTCAGAGAGAATAGTATTTGGCTTTATTTAACACAACATATTTATGGGGTTTTTTATTGTAAAATTAATATTACAGTATTTAGAATTCTAGTAAGATTTTTAAGGCTCCCTTTGGTTTTCTAGTTTAGTTTTTCTTATTGATGAGCACTCGATTTTATATGAATACAGTTTGTAAAATAATAATATATTCTAATGTTAATATTTTCATCTCCCCAAATACCAAAATACTGCTCTGTTCCTTCTTTGTGTCACTGCTAAACCTGAACTTTGACCCTTCTTGTATTTTCCCTCCTGCTTACCTTCAGTTGATCCATTGATCGATGATTACTCTGGAAGTGGAGGCAAATGTGTGTATTTCATGTATTGGTCATTTCCAGTACTCTAATTTGCTCACCTGCCTCTGCTGGATTAGCCTTAAAATGAGCTTTGCATGCCAGCAGTTCTAACCAGGAAATCCCAGACAGAGCATACTGTATGTAGATTCAGAAATGATCCTGGTTTTTTGTTGTTCTACGATTAGCAAAGAAACCTTTGCTGAATTTCAGCTTGTGTCTTGAATAATGTCAAGAGGCTTAAGAATCTCATGTTGCTTCTACTCTTCAGGTTTTCTATTTATGTGATTAAACTGAATCTAAAGTCACAGATGATGATGACAGCAGCTCTCATTTACCAGGTGTTTCTGTGTCAGGCCCTGTTCTCATACCTTGGATATATTATCTCATTTAATCCTGTCAGTGACTCCAGGAGTTCCATCATGCAGGTTCTCTGCACGAGGACGCGGCCACGCGGTGCCGTTAGCTGGCTGTGGAGACCCCATGGTTTCTGTGTGTCAGGTTGGGTCGTGTAAGTCAGAGCCCTCGCTTTCAGTCATCATCACACTTCCTTTGCTCTTCAGATCCTTCAAATCTGATTATTTAATAGCAAAATCCTTTTTAATTAGCTGTGTAATTCTGAGCCTTAGTGTATATGTAATTAAAATCAATCACTTCTAGTTGGTGAGCCTGTTAACTGAGCTGCTTTGTGAATGCTGGATTAGCACTCACCTGTTCTTATGCTAAGTCAGTGTCCTTTGTTATCATGGGCCTCTGGTTAGGTGATAGGTAAACATTATTTTTTCATGAATTCCAAATTAAATTTTAAAAACTTAATGTGAATAAAATTTGTGCTTGAAAAAATCACACATTTATAAAGGATCACACATTAATCTTTCCATAAGTATTACTAAGTTGACAAGGATATAATTTCTACCCTTTTAAGAAATTTAACAAGGAATTGTTATCTTACAAGAAATGAATATTGGTTTTAGGGTGGGTTAAGTTTTATATTTTTATTGATTTGTTGGCTTGACAGAGAGTGAGGAAATACGCAGGAGAAACCAAACGTGACCCTGGCTGCTGCGAAGGACTTAGGCCTGGAGGACACTAAGACATTCCAGTGTAGGGCGGCTGTTGGACTGGAACGGCTCTGTCTGAGATTTCCAAAGCTGAGCGACACTGATGTGCTGGAGACACCGTCTTGTTCTTGCTTTTGTGCTCCAGGAGGTGCTGCTGCCAGCTTGCTGCCTCCTTCTTTGTTGAGCAGCTGTGGCATCTCCCTGAAAGCTGTGCATGACTTAAGTTTTCATTCTGTATCATGCAGGAAAGCAGCCCTGACCACTTCTGAATTTTCATTTCGATCAACTACTCTGAATTCCTTTTAGGGCCTGCATGTGTTAGTTGGACCTTCTAACTCCCTCCTTCTGTTCTTTCCCACCTTGCTGCCATCACCTGGTGGCTAATTTTTTGCTCCAGTTCCTATCTCCCTTTTAAAACTTGCTTGTTTTCCCGTGTTGTATATTTGCAGATGGTGGTTTTCAAACTGTCTTGAAGCAACAACTAGTTTTAAGGGGCTTCAAGAGCTGGCTTTGATTAATTCCAGATGAGTAGGCCAGAGAGCATTTGTAATATTTTTTCTGACTCTTTGTATTGATTCATATCCTTTAAGGAATACTTTTGATATGAATTTTAAGCAATATAGATTTTCTCAAATTTAAAAATGAGCTAATTTTAAAATAGGAATGCACTGGTACCTATGGTTTTTCTCTGGTGTCTGTTTGAGAAGGATGATTAATGAAAGAAAGTACAAACAGCAAATTACTGAATTTTGTTGTTTGTGGCTCGTGTACCAAAACTAAGTTTAAAAACAAAATCTACAGCTCTGTTGAAGACCTTAGTAAATGAAAGTATGGCCCTAAAACTTGCATTTCATACTAGGAACTTGTCTTACCAATGACTCATGGTCATACTGTTAGGAAAAGTGAGAGCCTCCCCTAGCAAATACTCAGCCTTAATTTGGGCATGCTGTAATAGATGAATGTAAACTATACCAGATTCATTCATTTGCTAATTGTTCTTCCCTGTTGAGGCAAGCGTTTTGGCCCCAAGTTCTTAACCAGGAATTATGAAAAATTTCTGTCATTTCTACAATTACTCTCCTTTAAAAAAAAAAAGTATATTTTAAAAATTCTTTTTAGCATGTTTGAAATGTTGCTTAACAAAGGACATTACTAAGTGCTCAGATTTTTGTTTTAACTAACGTTAAACAAAACGTTAAACATAATGTTATATAGATAACACTGGGCCCAGCTGATAATGTATTATTATTGATAAATAAGTGATCATGTTTTTTCTCTTACTGTGATATACTACTGGTATTTAAGAGTAGTGTAAACCGAAGGCACTGTATAGTCGGAGCCACAGAAGGAATGGAAAGAGTGTAGCAAGGCTATTCGGGCAGAACGCCTGAGCATTGTCCTTGGGGCCCTGGGTGTCCCTACCGGGTACAGCAACGCTAAGCCGTGCTGCAATTTTTTAAGTTTCTAAATTCAGAATTGGTTCTTAACCTCTAGGATACCAGTATTAAAGACTGACATGTTTTAGAACTGCCATCTAGAACAGTTACAAGTTGTCTTTGTATTATAACATGCCTTTGTCTTGGCACTATAATGCTTTCCTTTCTTACACTGGTGTTCCTTCCTGTCTTTTTCTTTCTCTGCTCCTTTCCCTCTTTTCCACTTTTTCTGCCTTCCCTTCTGTCTCCCAGATCTGAAAGATTTTCAGAACAATAAGCATAGGTACTTGCTAGCCTCTGAGAATCAACGACCTGGCAATTTTTCCACAGCATCCATGGGGTCCCTTACTTCATCTTCATCCTCCTGCTCACTCAGTAGTCAGGTGGGCTTAACATCTGTGACCAGTATTCAGGAGAGGATCATGTCTACGCCTGGAGGAGAGGAAGCCATCGAACGTCTAAAGGTAAGTGATAATTCAGACTGAATTAAAGGTTTTCCATGTAGTTTCTAAAGGCAGAATTAGGACTAAAAATCACTGAGATTTTGGTTCAGCATATGGAAGAACTTTCCAACTTTTAGAGGTGTCCTCTTTCTAAAAGTGGAATTTGCTGCTTTGTGAGATAACTAATTTCTTTTTACCAGGATGCTCAAGTCTGACATGGCCAGGCAGAGGGGGAGAGATGTATGGGTAGATCATAGGTTGGCCGTGCGAAGTAACTGATTAAGTAGATATGCTCATTAGTTCTGAGGTAGTTTATAAGTCACAGTGCAGTGGTTTAGTTAGAGTCCTGGCCAGTGTGGCTCAGTTGGTGGGAGCACTGTCCTGTAACCAGTTTCTCTGTCAGGGCGCACACCTAGGCTATGAGTTTGGCCCCGGGCCAGGCACATACGGGAAGGCAACCAGTGGATGCTTCTCTCTTGCATTGATGTTTCTCTCTTCTTCCTCTCTCTCTAAAAGCAGTGAAAAAATGTCCTCGGGTGTGGATAAAAAAAAAAGAAATTATTTAGTTAGAAATCTAGTTGAAAACATTTGGTTTCATTGGAAGAATTTTATGTAGAGCCATGCATTTATTTAGTAAAATAAATACACAATCAAAAGAAGGTTTTGAATGCTTGAGTAGTTGTACCAAGTTTCTTCCGAGACATGTGAAGTGACATTTTTGGGAAGTCTGTGGAAAGCCTTGGAACCTGGAGATCGCTATCATGGAAGGCCTGCCTCGCCCCGTGCTGGTAGCCACGGGGCCCGGGCCTAAGCACTGTGCGCTTCAGTCCTGCCTGTGCAAGTCCCCTGACAGGGCAGCCAGCTTTGCTTTCCCAGCCTGTTGCTGGCTCAGTCAAGTCCTTTCTTGCCTTTCTCCATGAATGTGAAAGTTAGGAACAGCAAAGCCTTCTGACGCGTAGGTTCTTCCTCCCCGCTCAGTGACTGCAGTGAGAGCAGACAGTTGTCACCTCTGGTGCCATGCGTTGAGTCACTGTGACAGCATCATAGATGCTTTTTCTTTCCTTGCCTGTCATCCAGGATGCTAGTTCGATCCATACCTTTCAGCCTTTGTATTCAGGAGAGCCCGGGTAGGGAAAGCAAGGAGAGCGAAGAAACTTTAAGGAGCTGGGAAGCTTCCATCATGCTGCCACCTTAACAGTCCTCGTTGCATCCAGGACCGCTGCTCATTCAGGAGTGGGAAGAAGAGTGACACACTTGGACAGATTAACAATTGGAAATGCTGAGCTTTTCACCACTAAAGGGAATTAAGCTTGATAACTGAAGACAGCAGATGCTTTCATTTCATTTTTCAGGTGGGGCTGAGAAAGGTTTCCTTAATCAGCCGACCTTCCCCCTTGGCATTTGACTCCTAAAATAAGGTGCTTTGGAAACCAAAGTAATGATGTCGTATCTTCCTCCAGAACATGTTAGTGGAAAGTGGCTGAAGTTCTGAAATACTTGGCAAAGGGAGAGAGAGTGAGAAATCCTTTAACATTGCAAATTGAAGGGTAATTTCTGCTGTTGTAAAATTGACTTTGAAATTTTACTAAAGACATTAGTGAAGCTTTGGGCAGGAAGGCTTTACTCATGTATTTTTTTCACAGAGACATCAGTGGCAAAGTTGCTGTACAGGGGCTCTTTGGGAAGGAAAAGGGAACTCTCCCACTTACTATTTAATATAAAAGGTTCTTTTTCTTTGAGCATTTTGAATCTTCCTATTTGCTTATTAAAGCCTTAATGTATAAATGATATTACACTTTCCTATAACATGCATCTTGGTGTAAAAGAGAAAAGTTCTCCTAACTGCCAAGTGGGTCCAACTGAAAATAATGTTGAATGTTAGGAGTCAAGACATTAACCAGACTCCGAAGAATTAGGACATCCAGTGTATTCCAGATAGTTTCTCGGGAATAACATTGCCATTGTTCAGGAAACCCTCCCTCAGCCTCCCTACTTTCCACCAAAAACAAAATTAGAGCTGTATTACTTTCATCAGAAAGTAGTATTGTACATTTCTCTGTTTTAATTCTCCTTTAGGCCAACACAAATGAAATCTTTGATTTTCCCTACCTTTAGAAAACAGCTTCTTTGCACTCAATCTTGAGTTTTTAATGCAGCATGGTAGTTCACTGAAGCATAAGTATCTTGGTTCTGCTCTTATATTGTGAATGGTGAGAATTCCATTTGGCAGGCCTGCATTTTAATGCTGCTGGCAGATAACATCTTACATCTACAGCAAGGCAGTTGTTATATGATAGAAAAGCTTGAGGATTTTTCATTTTCGGTTATTTCATTGATGAGTGTGAAGGAACTGTGTTCCTAAGACATGACACAGAAGGAGAAAAATACTGGGCTGGTAAATAGTAATAGAGGAGTTCGGTTCATTTATCTCCCTTTACTTCTCTTTTCGATTTAAAAAAAAAAAAAAGATCATTTGGTGTAGTAGTGTACTTGGACACAGGATGTTGTTCCTGCTTTGTTTATTGAGTAGTCTGTTGCCACATGGAAGAGGTCCATCCATGTTACCCCATCCTAAATACCTTCAGCCCTTCGTAAACCTCTCTGGCAAAACAGAATGAGATGTAATTGCTTTCAGTCTTTAGTTACAATTCAGACTGAGTTGGAATGTATATATCCTTGATTTAGATTCCTATTCAGTAAGTTTTAAAATATGTAGCTATAGCCACGTTTTTTGAGTGGTGGCTCTGGTGTGTGTGTGTTAGCCTAGCATCGAAGTCAGCACTGCCAGTGCCAGTGCTTAGGCTTAGACTGTAGATACCCACACAGGTCCATTACAGAGGCACGCAAGGGCAGACGCTGTGCTAGCGAGCCCAAGGGCCCCGCGCTTGGGACTCACTCACGAAGCATGCTCTGTTCAGTACAGTAGAACCTTGGCCATCTGACGGCTTCAAGGAATGTTCCCTGTACAAGGACTTAACTTCTAAATATCACAATTTAAACTACGATTTTTTCATGGAAATTTTTCTGACTTGTTTTGTGGATTTCTCTGCCACCATAGCTGAATCAGGTGAAGAGATTAAATAGTGTTCAATCATATAAACATAATTATTAACAAGTGCTGCTCAGATAGCTAGACACATATGCTATGAGACTGAAGTTGAATGACACCTGAGCCCAGCATTCCTTGGAGCTTAAAAAAAGTTTCTGATGTCACTCTGCTTTTCAGAATTGTTTCATGTGAGTGCCTGCAGGAAGGAAGGACCTTGTAAAGATATTGCCTCCTCAGTTCTTAAGCACGAATCCCCCTTTTAGCCTAACCTTAAATTGGGCCTCTGCAGTGGGCCACGGCAGACTGGGCAGCGGCGCGCTGGGCCCGCCTGCGCAGCAACCGGATGGCTGCGGGACCGCAAGCTGCCGTCCTGCCAGCATCTCTGCTTCGCTTACGCTGAGCTGCTGTTCAGGCTTGAAGAAAGAGGGCCCTTCACTTTTTCCTCATTTATAGTGAGCTTTTCTGTAGACTCTTTTCTTTAAAGCCTACCAATTCTGCCCGCCTTGAAGAAGAAACACTGAAAGTTAGGAAACCCGGTTCTAGACCTGGCTCAGGAAGGAGTGCGGCCTCAGGATGATGGCTTGCTTTGTCATGTCTTCAATTTCTTTATCCCTAGAATGGCTCTGGAATAAATGGTTTTCCCAGGCTTTTTCCATCACTGAAGTATTGCTAATAAGATACTTAATAGCATTTTCTCTAATCTTTCTTCAGTTTTTAAAAATAGCTTTGTAAACAACATAAACTTCAACTTGAAGCTATATTGAAAAATGAAAGTAGTACCTTACTCTGCTTACTCATTAAATCTCTTTTCTATAAAGATACCATATTCTGATTTACCCTCCAGGTGGGAAGTAAATTTAGAGAAGCCAAATTAGAGTTGGCAGCGAAATGGTAAGAGGATTCCTGGACAGTGTCTTTGCTTCCCTAGGGTGAGTTTACAGTTGCCCCAAAATAGATTCCATTAATACAGCCAGACAGATCTCTGCTGTGACATGACCTTTTTCTGAAAACCAACCTGGAAAAAAAAATATATTTTAAGTACCTCATGGGTCACTGTGCGTTCCATAATGAACACCAGTGGCTCTTGGGCCGCACTGTGTGTAATAAGCACTAGTGTAACTGCTGTGGTTTGGTCAGGGCCTTCCTATTCTGTTTCTTTGTTTTCAAAGTTGTCATTTTGAGACTAACGGTTCCTGCCCAGCTGTCATTTATAGCCTTACTATCATACAGGTCATGGTGCCAGCGTACCTGGTACTTGCCCTTTCACAGTCATTCGCAGAAGCATTTAAAACTACAAACACCACACCATGTTGCAGCTGCGCTCTCCAGTTTGCTTCTCCTGACCCATGTACTCCTTCACTTTTGCAGCTGCTGCCTTGACTCTTGGCTCTTACATGCTCCCATGCAAATGCCAGACACCTAGGGTTTACTGTATTACACATTTATTCACAGTTTAGTTCTGTGTAATGATGTTTTGGGATCTGATAGGCTTTCACAAAATAGCCTGTTAAGTGAATCACACTATTGTGTGAACTGTTGTCTTTTTATCCTTAATCACTATCACTGTTCTCATCATCATTATTATCCCAGCATCGTGATCATCATCATCTAACTTTCTCACCTTGTCTCCATGCCTAGCACATTCTCCTGCTTTTTGCATGTGCTCGCCTCCTGTTTTGGTACTCCCTCTCCCTCCATTAGTCAGTTCCTCCTCGTCCTTCGTTCATCGGTGTGAGCGTCACTCAGCCCTGACTCACCCACTCTGCAGCAACCTTCTAATGCTTCAGTTCTAGCACTTAGTGCACTGTTCGCAGGGGCAGGGGGGTGTATTTTGGTACTCTACCTACTCATAGTTCTCAGACATGCTGCTCTAGCCACACTGTTGTTGTTCCTGGAAAATTCCAGGCATTTCCCACCTATTCCCTCACATACTCATGTAGATGCTTCTGCTCACAGAGAGCCTTGTCAGTGAGCCCTGTCCTGGCGACCCCACTCTACGGTGCTCCCTCACGACCCCTCCCCTGCATTCTTCTCTTCCCTTGCTTTATTTTCCTCCAGAGCACTTAGTACTGTCTGCCATACTATATACTTGACTTATTGTTTATAATTGATTATTAGAGTCTCTTTACTAGAATATAAGTCTCATGAAGGCAGGGGGTTTTGTTCTCTGCCATACCCTTCATTGCCTAAAATAGGGCTTGGCATATAGCGGGGTTATATACAGTAACTGAAGGAAAAACTCATCAGTTATTTTTCTCCCTGGTATATAGTAAAACTCCTTGAGAGCAGGAAAGATGTTTTATTTCTTATTTTTTTGGCATATAATAAGCACTCAACAAGAAATTGTGAAATTATCACCTCAGTGGCAGAATGCACTGGTTTGTGTTCAGAAGGTATTGCGTTGTAGGGGAGGAAAAATATTTTCCCTTCTACCTCTCTGGGCTCTTTCTTGCCTGTGGCCTCTATAACAAAAGGCATATTAATAATGAAAAGCATACAGATTTAGTTACTAAAAGTTTGACATGACACAGGAGTCTTCATAAGAAGTGTTAAACCTAAGCATTCAGTTTGATGAAGAGTGAAAAGTTGTGGGAAAATGTGATAGGGCCAATGGGTGTGAGCTAAGAATAGTAAGCTGGGGAAACTTCTCAAGGCCTGTCTGTTCAGGTTCCTCTTGGCCTTTCTCCATCTTCAGAGGTGCGGCTGCTGCTTCCTTCCAGGCACAGGGAGGGCACCTCTCCTGAAGCTCTAATGACCTGATTCCGGAGGAGGTCAGAGCCTGTCCTGCACATACCAGTTTGCGGATTACTTCAGCCTAAGATACTTAGTACGCCAAGGCATCGTGTTTTGGGAGCACATGTTCTGAGCCCCAACAGTGTTAGGGCAAAATTGTAGTGATGTGTGGATGTCAGAAATTGTACCTTGCATTTTGGGGTGTTAGTATTACCCTTTCTCCTGCACCCACACACTATTAAGGTATTTTTATTAGGACTTAAGAAAATTAATATATCTGGGTTTTATTTCGTGGTAGGCCTAGTCGTTATGATTCTTTCTTTACATATTAAGAAAGGAAAAAAATCTCACCATATTAGATTCTGCCTCAGGCTCTCAAAGGACATCATCTGCTTCTTGCTGTCCTTCCTAGATATGCTGTGTTTAATTATAAGACTGTTTGCTACTTTTAACTGTGGACTTCCTCCCGTAGGAATCAGAGAAGATCATTGCTGAGCTGAATGAAACCTGGGAAGAGAAGCTGCGTAAAACAGAGGCCATCAGAATGGAGAGGTTAGGACGTTAAACTCTGGGAATATTTCTGAATTTTTTAAGGAATTAGGATTAATTTTATAGTAAGAAAAGATAAAATAGAAGTTAAAAACAAAGAACCTTCGCCTTGGCTGGTGTGGCTCTGTTAGTTGGAGCATCATCCTGTAGACCAAAAGGCAGTGGATTTGATTCCCCTGTCAGGGCATGTACCCAGGTTATAGGTTCAGTCCCAGGTTGGGGCACATATGGGAGGCAACTGATCGATATTTTCTCTCCCACACTGATGGTTCTCTCTCCCTGCCTCTTTCCCCCTCTCCCTGCCTCCCTGCCTCCGTTTCTAAAAAACAATGAAAAAAATGGAAGATATTGAGGGATGGAGTTTTTAATTTGCAGATAGACTGCCTTTGATAAAGGCCCAGATTTAAAAAGCTGTTGTGATTATTGTCTTTAAAAGTCCTCTAGAAACTTTTTGGTAAGAAATTAAGTAGTTGGAGTTGCAAACTTTGAAATTCCAGTTCTATCTCTACCCTGAATGTGAGCATAGCCCAAAATAATACTTTTGCCACTGGAATAAATATTCATTTTTGAAACATTGGTTTCTGACTTTTCTCTTCATAGAAGTGAGGCAAAGGTGAGTTCTGATGTTGATAGAGTAAATGTATCAAACAATTAGAACTTTCTTATTATTATAGAGATTTCAAGTTAGAATTGTTGAACCCGTATCATGTTGGGCATGGGAACATAATCGAGAAAACTCATACTTACAGCCAGTACTCCCATCTATCAAAGTTACTTTCTTATTCCTTACTTAGATTTTGAAGAAATACTTGAGTTTTATGTAGAGCCTCAAGGAATATCCCTTTCTTTTTTATGTAAATAGACATTATTATGATTTACTGTCTACCTCCAAAGTCAGATGAGACAAAGTTCTTATTTGGGTAAATGTAGCTTCACCTAACATAGGAACATAATTTATTTTGAATGTGCTGTTTCTCTTAAAAATAATTTTTCTAATGATGGCATACGCAGATTTTAGCTTTAAATATGGACAATTTTTTTTTCTTTTGCTTTATCTTTTAATTCCTATCAGACTGACTTGATCGACATTTTGGTGTTGGTGTTCTGATATGGTGGTGGTTTTTTCTAGAGAGGCCTTGTTGGCTGAGATGGGAGTTGCCATTCGGGAAGATGGAGGAACTTTGGGGGTTTTCTCACCTAAAAAGGTAGGAAATAATGTTGTGAAACGCAAGCAAACAGAAACACTTTTTGTTTGTCTAGTCGTGGGGACACTTCATGTCTTTCTAAGCTGGCCCTTCATTCCCCGCCCACCCCCACTTTTTTATCTTGAGATTTGGCTTACTTAATTTCAGATATTTCTGATTTCATCTTACAGTACAAGGATAGCTTATCATGTTTACTGATTACAAAATAAAACCCAAGGCAGTAAATCTGCTAAGTTTTGGTCATGATTCAGTATGTTTAATTATCTTCATTGTTGCCATCTCAAATTCGCAGCCTAACCTCACATACCTTGCTTCAGTTGGGCTACTCTTTCCGTGTAGATTTTTCCACAGGTGCCAGCAACCCTGCTTTATAACTCCCTTGAAGCAATTTCAGCTGGTCAGGTCTGTTTAGAAAAATAACCGCTTCAGTTTGCGTCTACAGTTTGTTATAGACAACCATGCACTGAGCAAAACAATTCCTGTCCTCATCCTTCTAGCGTCTGCTCCTTCTCAGTTACACAAACAGGCTCCAGCGGTTACCTTCTTACTTACACAATCAGAGCTGTGAACTAGTAGACACCTTGTAGTTAATTAGAATAGTAAGGTGTGGGGTTTTTTGTTTTTGGCTAAGTTGCGTAATTGTTGCTATATATTGGAAAATATTATCAAGTGCTTATTTTGTGTGTTTATTTATATAATAATAGAATATATTAATGTACAAAGCACAGACTTCATACCAATAATAAATGGTCCTTCATTTCAAATGACCTCAAGTTGGCTCTTGGAGACTTAAACATCTCCATGTAAGGGTCTGATAATGATCTCTCTAGGAGAGCATAGAATGGGTAGGAATTGGTACTTTTGTTTTATGTAATATAAAATATTTCTGTGGTTTTTGTTAGGATTCTTTTGATTAGGTTTCTCACATTACTTTCTCATAAATTCCAGTATGTTATTTTTAACAAACAAGATTGATTTAACAAAATTTTAGATATATATTGTAAAGGAACAATAGTAAAACTATTTTATGTTCTTATTGCCTAAGGTCAGTGATTTTCACAGTTTAAGGGTTTTTCTTTCAGTAAGACATTATTTATTCAGATATATTACTTATGATTATAGAGATTGTAGCAGTTATGGGTATGATAGAATTTAGATTATGCCTTTGCATATATCTGAATATGTGTACACACACATGTATTTAAAGATATCTTATAACATTTTTCAGTGTTAAGAACTGTGGGGAAAATTTTTATGTAACATCTTTTAAAAACATGGTGTTTAACACCGATCATAAATAACTTGAGTAAGTTGTGATGTAAACAGCATAGAATTCCAAACTGGCAGGTCTGTTTTCAAACCTTTGTCTTTAACTTTCCCCATCCTGCTTTAACTTTCTAGGCTTCCTCACGAAACTGACCATATCCAAATTCAGTTTTAGAACCTATTTTTGATGTATTAACTTCACTGTGGTAATCAATGCCTGATATGTGCATGTATAAATTGACACGTAGTACACCTTTAAAAAATCATGTTCAACCTAAATAAGTACAATTTTTAATTGACGATCCCACCCCAGTGTGATTGAAAACGGGGAAAATTCTTTCATGGCAAGAAAAGTAAAAAATAGAACCTGTTTTAGAGACTCCTTTTTCCTTAGGCCAGTGTCATGGTGGGCCCTAAAGAACGCTGCCCAAGGAGGCCCTGGAGCTCCTCAAACCAGCGGAGGCCCCAGACTGCGGGGGCAGAGCTGGTCGAGAAGATGGGGAGATTTCTCTAATCTCGTTCTCATTTTCTTTTGCGCTCCCTTTTCTTAACCTTCTTCATCTAACTCTTTCCATTTTTCACATTCAGCGACATTTTCTTGAGTAGATTTTGACCCCAAGACCATATGGCTTATTTTTGGATTCTGGTGGGTTCTTTTCACTGAAGAAGGTTGGGTTTTTTTTAAAAGAGATTTTAGAAATATTAGAGTTAAATAAAGAGGGTTTTTACAAGATGTGTGTATTAATTGAATGTCAGCAATTCTCTTCTTTAAGGTAAAGACTAATATAATAAAGATAATACCTGGGACCATGGAAGAACTGATAAAAATTACAGAGGGAGGTGATGGGGGTGTGGGGACATTTTTCTAAAGTAACTGAAAAATTAAATATTTATTGGAATTGTAGGGGAGGAAAAATAATCTCCCCTTACCCTTCTGAGTTCTTGGCTGAGAGCCCTGTTGTAAAAGATTAACAAGAGAAAAATGAAGAGGAGTTTATTAACATGTCTACCTCATGTATACATGGGAGATACCCAGGGAAAAATTAGTAAATGCCTGATGTAGCTTAGAGTTCAGACTTAGATGTTACCTTTTTTAAAAAAGAAAATTTTCATCGATTTTAGAGAGAGAGAAACATCGATTTGTTGTTCTATTCAGTAGGAAAAGGGAAGTAGGGAGATGATCTCTAAGGGGAGAGGAAGTGGTTTTCAGGGAAGGTGGTGGGCCCTTGGGAGAGGAGGTGGGAAGCGATGACAGTCTGTGACGTCTGTCTGGATGTGGGGTCGGCTTTGGGCCTCCTCCCCTGCATGCAGTAAGGGGCCGTGTCCCCTGGTCAGTGAGACTCCCGGGAGGGCCTGCGACCCCGAGCCTCTCTTGGAGACTGTCGGGGCTGGCGAGGCGGGCTCAGGGAGAGCCTCCCTCCGCACTGGCTGTTGTTCCAGTGACTGCAGCTCAAAATACTGTGTCAAAGTGGCTTATTTTGGGAGTGGAGTATTTTGCTACCCTTGAAGATTTTTGTCCAACTGTTTACAAAAATTATTATTACCCATCCAGAGAAACAGCCTAGTCTAATCTATCTTTTGTGTTCTAAATATTTTGATGTTATCAAGAAATGGCTCTTGTTCTCTATCTCAGAACCCATGTTTTTAGATAGACTGTATTAGTGCTGTTTGGGAAGGCCTGAAGGGAGTGTTTTCTGTTTGTTATGGAGCTGCAGCTAGGGAGCAAGGCCGTCTGTTTCCCAGCCTGCTGGTAATCCGGGGAGCCAGCAGCCTGCTGTGGTCGCAGCTGAGTCAGGGCACTTGCCGGGACTGATTATCTCACCTTTTTCAGACCCCACATCTTGTTAACCTCAATGAAGACCCTCTGATGTCGGAATGCCTGCTTTATTACATCAAAGATGGAATTACAAGGTATATTTGTATCTTTTGGTCATTAATGCTTTCTTTTCTCTTAGATGATTGAATAAAGGGAAGTTGTTTGTTGAAAAATTTGTTGTAATGATTTGCTGTTTTTCCCCATCTGAAATAGTTACAAACTATGCTCTCTTTCTAAATTACGTGTTTTAGTCAGCTGAACCAGTTAACATTTAGTTTTTCCCTAAAGGACCTTAAGTAATATTTTTTTCCTTCTTACATCTTAACATGAATTCATTAGGGAGATTAGTTCCCTTGTGTCTTTTTATAATGCTGTGTGAGTTACATTGGTATATAATTGTTCCTTGGTTTCTTATTCTGATGTAGGGAAGTTGACCGTATATGAAAATAGAATTTACAGTTGAAAACCTCTGATTTTTTTTTTTTTTTTTTTTAAGGTAATACCTTTTTGTACAGACCAAAGAATGTTCTTTGGGAGAAAGAGGTTCATTGTTTGTAGTGCTTTTTGTGTCTGAATTTCCCTGGGAAACACTTTCCCTTGTGTTCAGGGTTGGCCAAGCAGATGCTGAGCGGCGCCAGGACATCGTGCTGAGTGGGGCTCACATTAAAGAAGAGCATTGTATCTTCCGAAGTGAGAGAAACAACAGCGGGGATGGTGAGAGCTCTTGGCTTAGCTTTTCCAACAGCTTCTTATTCTATATTATGAGAAATCCACAAGACTTGGTATTCCCTGTCTCTTTCAGTGATACTTTCTTATACAATCTAATATCTAAAAATGGAGAAACCTGGGCTGCTTATAAATGCAGGGACAGACAGAGCTATTTTACATGAAAATAACCTGAACAAAAGGAGCCCTTTGTTAACTGCCAAGAACTAAGCAGGACATAGGCAATTAGGCTTGGTCTTGAATGGTAATTATTTGATAGACAAGTAAGAAGGGAACAAATATCCTGGGTAGTGGGAGATTTGAAGGACCTGTAGCCTTAACCCAGTAGAATTTATTTTTATCTAAAAATTGAAGAAAAAGTCAGTCTTATATTTTGTCCAGGTTATTAACAAAACAACAATCTAATAGTATTTTATACTATATAATTCCTTCCATCCTTGATCAGAATATTAGCTTTTGATTTGAAGTTTCTAGTTAAGACCTGAATCTCATACTCAAGATTTCTGATGGTTTTCAGTTTTATAGACTGAACTATCAGATATCACCAACACTGAGATATGTCTGAGAACATATCTTCTTCTGAGGTTTGTCAATTCATTTAAGTGTTTTATCTTAGCTGTAGCCCTAGTTATGGACCATAAAATAAACTGTTATATAGATACTCAACCACTTGGTTGGTTACAGGGATCTATTCTAGTTACCCTGAATCTTCATAGTCATCTGCTCTGTTACTTCATTCTAGTGGTTTGTGATGCTAACAGTAGTTTGCGTTCCTCTTCAGTTATCGTGACTCTAGAGCCCTGTGAACGTTCAGAAACCTATGTAAATGGCAAGAGGGTGACCCAGCCTGTTCAACTACGCTCAGGTGAGACCGGGATGGGTTTGAAGTCTTCAGCAAAGATCACATGGCTTGTAGAAGCAGCTCTGTAATTTTTGAATCTTTGTTTAAAGGCTAAAGCGATAACATTAGGATTTATGTTCTTAGAAAATTCCAAAGGCTATCTTTTTTGCTTTAGGAAAAGTGTGGTCATTAACCTAGATACTGTACATTTTAAAAATAGTTTCTTAATTCTGTTTATGTTTTGTGCTAGGAAACCGTATCATCATGGGTAAAAACCACGTGTTTCGTTTTAACCATCCGGAGCAAGCACGGGCTGAGCGGGAGAAGACTCCTTCTGCTGAGACTCCCTCTGAGCCTGTGGACTGGACATTTGCCCAGAGAGAGCTTCTGGAAAAACAAGGAATTGATATGAAACAGGAGATGGAGAAAAGGTAATGTACAAATATGATATGGCCCATATGACTATCATTTCTTTTAAACATATAATAGGAGCATTTATAAAACAACTTGGTGATTTTACCATGTATTTTTTTTTTGTCCTAGGTTACAGGAAATGGAGATCCTATACAAAAAGGAGAAGGAAGAAGCAGATCTTCTCTTGGAGCAGCAGAGACTGGTAGGAATCCATCCTCAATTCTCTGTTAGGAGAAAAAGGGCAGCTTGTTCTCATGCCTTCCTTGCCCCACAGATGAGCACAACCCACATGGCCTATCCATCTCGTACTGATACTACACACTTTTCTCATTTTCTTAACGGGGGATAAACTTACAGCTTCTGGTAGCCTTGGCCTGAAAAACTGTCCATAAAGGTACTATTTTGTGCCTTTTATGTCTTAAAGTCAAGTCTTCTGTCAAAACCAAGTGCCGTAGGTGGGAGCTTTTCTGGTAGCCTTTGCCTCTTGATCGTGGTTTTTGAGTATGCATCAGTGGTGGTTCTTTTAATAATAATTACTCTGCATATTGAATTTGGTGGGCGTTTGCCTTGGTTTTGTTTCTGATCACCTGATAGTACTAATTCTCTGCTCCTGGGCTGACCTGGGGGTTGTTCTTGTTCTGGGCAGACTTTTTTCTTTTCTTTTCTTTTCCTTTTTTTTTTTTTTTTTTTTTTTTAGTCAAACCATGTCTAAAAGTGTCGCTGCACAGTTGCATGTGTTAATCCTTTTCTCCTCCCTGCATGGAGTCTGCATCCTCAGCGAGGTCCCTGTAGCACGCAGGATGGCAGTGGAAGCAGGGGCTACACCACCAACTCAGACAGGAGAGGAAGTTTGGTTTTTCTGGGTTGAGAAAGGGTTTGGGTGAGCAACTGAAAAGTCTGTTTAAGGTTGCATCTTATAAAGCTAACAACTTTAGCATTTTATGATGTTAATTAATTTTCCAAGTTTGGTAGAAACTGAATCTCATAAATAAGTAAGTAGATCCATTAGTTAAATTTTCCTTTTGAAAGCCATCCAGTTTTGGTTAACAAAGCCCTGGTTACAAGAAGTTTCTTGGCATCCGTTTGATATGTAAGGAAAAGGTACAACAAACGTTTAGATACTATGGGTGCAGTTTAGGAATTTTTAAATTTTTAAGATTCATGGGCTTCTTTTAAGATTAGGAGGTAATAGGAAGAAAGCTGGAATACTGGTTTCTTCCCTTAGCATAAAATACAGCATGTGAAACACAGCCTTAAATTACAGCCTTATAGCCATGCTCTGCTTTGGAGGAGAGAGGCTATTGCTAAATGGGCCAGAAAAGCCAAGGGCTTAAACAGAAGCAGCCTTTTCCAGGGCAGCTCAGTTCTCAGGCTTGGCAGTGGGTTAACCAGTTCATTTGTTATCTTGGAAATTATAGTAAAGCCCCCAAAAAGAATGGATTGTAGGAATAAATCAAGTGTTTGGGACAAGATAATAGAAAGGCTATATATAGAGTCTCTTTAGGAGGCCTAGTTGGCATTTAGTTTTTAATAAAAACAAAGATTTAGCTACAATGTGATTAGGGGCTTGAAAGGTTTATGACACATGAAGGAACTTTTTATCTTAATAATGTAGTATAATCTAATAACATGCCTCTGATGGTCTGTGAGAGATCAAATGAGGACAGGTATAATTAAGCTGTATTTATGATTAACAAGAATGCCTTGTAATTGTATAGTGCTTCATAACTTACAAAGAGCTTCAACAGCCATCATTTTTTGATTCCTGAAACAACCATCTTTAGTAGATATGTATATAAATAAAATGAGTAATATTGTTTTAATTTAATTTTATCTATTTTCATCATTCCCTCCCCCCCATACCCTCTTCCACCTCGACCCACCCTCCTCCCGCAGTCCCACTAAAATGAATAATATTATCTGCAGTTTATATTTTCTCCAGTTGAGGAAATCAAGGCTAAAAAATGCTGTCATGCCCACTCTTAAATACTTACTAAGTCATGGGTCTGCAGCTTAAACTTGAGTCTTCTGACTGACTTCACTGGTCTGTTCAATAGAGCAGTGCTTATCAGCCACCTAGGAGTCGTGTTAAAGTGCAGGTGCTGATTTGGCAGGTCTGGGGTGGGACCTGATTCTGCACCTCTGAGCGGCTCCCTGGGCCTGCCTGTGCCGCCTGTCCTGGGACCAGCTGTGGAGAAACTGGGTGGGAAGGTCTAATGATGGCTGGCGCGGTCCTTCTGCGCTCTGAAGCACGATGACCATTCACAAAGAGACAGTAAATGTCTCTAAGACAGATCAGTTTCCAGGAGACATACGTAGTCTTCAAGTAATCAGGCTCTAGTTGCCATTTGCTCTGTGCATCTCAAAGCAAGCAGGGATCCTTAAGAGCAGATCCCTAAGGCAAGGAGGTTGCTTTCCTCCCCCAGCTCCAACCCTGTATTCCATTTAAATTTCTTGTCCTCAAGAGGAATTGATTTCTAATGATTTTACCTGAAGAGTATCTAGCGGTAACAGTACTGAATAGGAAATGTATTTTTATGATCTTATATTGGTCAATCGACAGACATATTTTGAATGTGCCCTATGAATAAATATTGAGAGTATACAAAAGAATTACTATTCATTAAATATTTTAAAATACTTATATGTAATGATTTTTACATAACAACAGCATTAAAAAATGGAGTTTTCTGTTATGATAGTCCCCAGATGCGTCACACTCTTATATTCTAACTTGTAGTTAGTGCCCTATTGTACACCTGGTCCTTTCTGTGCTTGCTTTTTTACACATGTGTTTAGGGTATCTTCTGTCTTCTATTTGTACAAGCTTCTTGCAGAGTCTCTTCAGGAGGCCTACTTTGCATTTGCTATTTAAGGAAAGCAGAGGAATCTTATAATGATACGTGAATTGGCCAGGCCTGAGTACTTTTTTCAACGCTTTAATAAATAAATACAAATATCTTAATTTTTTTTACATAATTTACATCTGGGCACTTAAACTTTGCATACAGCCCTGGCTGGTGTGGCTCAGTGGATTGAGCACCAGCCTGCAAACCAAAAAGTCATCGATTTGATTCCCAGTCAGAGCACATGCCTGGGTTGTGGTGCAGGTCCCCAGCTGGGGGCATGCGAGAGGCAACCAGTTTATGTATCTCTCATGTATGCATTGATGTTTCTCTCCCTCTCTTTTTCCCTCCCTCCTCTTCCTTCTAAAGATAAGTAAATAATTAAATTAAAAAAAGAAAACTTTGTATACAGACTTCCTAGTATGATGATCATTATGTGATGGAGTATGTTTGAGGTATATATAGGAAATGTAGTCTACAGAGTCAAAATGACTATTTTAAAAAGAAATTATGGCCACTTGATTTAATATGGGCTATTTTGGGTTTACGTAGACCCTCTTATTTATTTATGTTTTATTTTGGAGTTTAAAGACTTTTATCAATTATGATATTAAAGCAATGATTAGAATATTTGTTATATCCTAAATTAGGTAGTATTCGCTTTATCCTTAAACAATTTTAAAAGAAAAAGGAGCCCAGATAAAGAGTTATAATTGTCAATTATGTGGGAAGAATCAGAGTTTGTTTTGTGAAACTCAGTTTCTGCATATTTGCAAGAAAACCTTTTTTAGGAGTCAGACATAGTTTTTTCACTATGTTAATTTTATCTTTTATCACTTAAAATTAGGCATTCTAATTTTTTTAACTAAAAATGAAAAGAAAAAAAAGTCTAGAATCTAAATTTAGCTTTATATGATTTTTATTGCCAAATTTTCAAATAGGTAGGAGTTATAAATTGGCTTAGTACCCATATATAGACCAATAGAAATAATACAAATCAGTAGCAACAACACAAAATTCAGGGGCCAAATTATCATCGTTGTTTAAGGGGGTTTTTTTGTTGTTGTTGTTGTTCCCTAGAAAGTTAACTGTACGAGGGACTCTCTGGTATGGAAAGCAGGATACTATTTATCAGTTTTGATTTTTAAAAACTTTACTAGAGATAATTTTGGTGATTATAGCCAAGTAAAAGAGACTATTAAGTAAGAATATTTTCACTTACTAGGCCAGCTTGGACTTTCTAGTGAGTAGTATCCTATCTCAGGAACTTTTATTTTCTGAATAGAAGTTCTTTCTCAATCTTGTTCATCCTAGGGAATTGTAAAACCAACATTGCTTTCATTTAGATCCATGTTGTTAAGATTTGCTTGTGTTAGTTAAGAATAATTGGTCATTATCGAGTAGGTGGTTATCGAAAATCAGGCTGTGGTTTTAGGCCTAAGTAAAAGGTTTTGAAAAAGAAGTAATGGGGCAAAGATAGCTAGAAAGAAAGTTAGGAAAAACATTTTAAAATGGATCCATTTCATGTAAACAGTAAAGATTTCATGTTTTATAGGAAGAGTTGTCACTTAAAGTGACATTTCTCAAATTGCTAGAAATGCCATGGGCTTTTACAGAAAACATCTCTAAGTTGTATTTATTAAAGTATACTTGGGGAATTTTAAGTGATGTTTAATGAAAGTACATTTGCCTGTCTTCATTTATGTTCTGGAAGTTTGTTTCTTAAAATTTTAGAGATGAGTTATTTATTGATTTAAGCGTGAAAACATAATAGCAGACCCACTCTAAGGATCCTTTTATGCTTTCTTGTTCTCTGGGTAACACCTCTAATTGTGTGAGTGAAATGGATCGATGTGACATGACATGATAAAATCGCAAATCCAGTATATACTCACAGAAAGACTAGTTTCAAAACCCTCTTTTCTTCTGCAAAAACAGTTTGGTTTATGAGAACCTCACATGGTCTGCTAATAGAGATTCTTAGCATTTTTAACATCATCCCTGTTTGCTTCTTGTTCTACTTTTCATCTTCTAACTTTTTTCTAGGGCTGCTCTTTTTAGTAAAGCTAAACAAATCGTGGCATCCTACAGCCTTACTAACCTTTGTTAATCCGCCTGCTCGTCACATCTTGTATGGCGTCTGTGCTCACTCATGGGGAAAAGAGTTTCTGGAAGAAGCAACAGCAATAACCAAGGCAAATGTGGGGAAGTGGCTGCATGGGCGTTAGCATGGATGGGGCGCAGGTTTTACTTCATTCTCCTGAGATAGTGGAGATGTTATTTTATGCCATTTTGTTAATAACTCCCTATGGCCTTAGAGTGAGAGACTCACTCACGGTGTCAGTCTTCCTAAGAA